TGAGGATTTGCCAGGAGTGTATGTGCATAGTACATTTTGGGTTTTTCCTTTTTCTTCCCTCCAGCATTTTCAGATGGCATGGACAGTATTAGTCTAGACTAGTCTGAACTGACTTCCAGAAAACCAGCAGTTGAGGCACTACAAAGAAAATAATGGACTGTCAGATACCAGATTTCTCTTTGTGACTTTGTCACTCCCATCTCAAGAACAGATTGTCTGGCAAGGCTATAAACTAAGTTACTGTGTTTATTTTAGCAAAGTTCTGTGTTGCTGCACTGTTGAAGATTGGTAGTAAGGGTCAGCTTTTTCAGTGGAGCTTTGTAAAAGCCACTAGAAAGATGAAATTTTCTCCACTATGATGGAGCTGGAGCCTTTTTGCCCCCATCAAACTTAAGTGTCATAGGAATTCAGACTGAAGGTGACACCTGAATAAATCACAGTAAGATGGACAATTTTTTTCAAGCTAGACATAAAAACCCCACCCCTGTTTTTCATCCGTAATGTTACCTTGTCTGATCCATTTACTTCTTTGTACATGACTAACCTCTGATAAACATTCAGGAAGGACATTGAGGTGCTGGAGCGGGTCCAGAGAAGAGCAACGAGACTGGTGAAGGGACTTGAGCACAAGTCCTATGAGGAGAGGCTGAGGGAGCTGGGGTTGTTTAGTCTGGAGAAGAGAAGGCTTAGAGGCGACCTCATCACTCTCTTCAACTACCTGAAGGGAGGTTATAGCCAGGCGGGGGTTGGTCTCTTCTCCCGGGCAACCAACAATAGGACAAGGGGACATGGGCTCAAGCTCTGCCAGGGGAGGTTTAGGTTAGATGTTAGGAAGAAATTCTTTACAGAGAGGGGTATCAGGCATTGGAACAACCTACCCAGAGAGGTGGTGGATTCACCATCCCTGGAGGTTTTTAAAAAGAGATAGTAATTGGAGTTGGATCAGGGGTTGGACTTGATGATCTTAGAGGTCTCTTCCAACCCTACCTATTCTATGATTCTATGATTCTATTATGACAGTCTTCTAATGAAACTATCCATCTGAGGTAAAAATACACCAAGATGCATCACCAGTCCTGTCAATAGACTCTGTAGCACTTCCTTGTATCTTAGTGGTCTCTGCGAGTAGAAGTTTGTGGGAAAGCGAATTCATCTTCAACCTTGAAATTCCAATGCTGTGCTGTCAGCAATGGCTGGCTGTGTCATATGGACAACCCTGCTGTTTGAAAACTTACAGAGATCATGGATAGATCTTTACAGATGCCCTACATGTGCTCTATCTTTTAATAACACTAAGTTTGTGCTGTGATATTGCCTGAAGCCTGTGGAGTACTGGAACTTGGTTTCTCAAATTCCATGCCTCTGGATTATGATTTTTATTGGGAAACATGATACTCATAAGGCAGTGTGTATGAATTGCTAAGATGTGGACAAAGTTGTAGAAGACCTGAAAGGCATCCAACATCTCAAAAGGCATAGAAAAGCCATTTATCTTGCAAAGATGATGAGGTAGGGTTGTTCCTCTCTAATTTTCACCAAGCACAGTATTCTTTCTCCTAAAACTGATGGGTCAGCTATATATAGGACACGTTAGTGTGTCAGGTGAGGTGGTGCCACATTCTACTGCAGCATCTGCCATACAGTTGAGCTTCAAGTTTATTGCACCCAAGTTCATGTGCACAGTTAACTCTTTTGCTCCTTAACAGAACAACAGAGCTTCACTTTCCAATTTCTCTAAATTAATGGGTTTGCTGGGTGAGACTATATATTTTGTAGCTGATTTTGCAATAGCAGCAATAGGTTCTGCTTTCATCACTTTGTGGCATAGGCTTCTAAGAAGCCTTCATGCTACTGATGGATGGATTCTGGTTAAAGCTTGTACTTGATCATGTTTTCATTTGAATATTCAATAGGTGCAAGAGTTTGAAATGCTACTACTGTAGCCTTAGTTCAAGGCAGACTTCACAAGCACGTCAGTGCTTAAGCAGATGACTAAGTTATTTACATGCTTACATTTAAGATATATCTTTAAAATAGAGTTATAAATAGAACAATAAAGTGCATGAGAAAATCTCAAAGTGTCACTACAGACCTAAAAGTTGCAATATAATTGAAAACCAAAGACCAAAGACCTTTCTTAAAAGTCACAGAACTTCAGCCCTCAAGTGAAAACAACTGCTAGTTTAGGGAACCAATTCTGTTAAGTCATACCAATATTACAGTGTTAATACTTTTAAATTGCTAGTCATCATTTTAAAAAATTACAGAGAGATTTTTAGGAGCACACATTAGAATTATGGTTCCAAATATTAATGGATTTCAGTAATTCATTCAGCTACCCTATGTACTGCTGAGCTTCCATACGCATTTACATTCAGATAACTCCTTTCCAATTTAAAAAAATATACATGTTCAAAATGAAGACAATTTCACTAACAATGTGGAAAGACAGAAGCACTAACTGCCTGGGACATCTTCATCCCCATTAGAGAATGCAGAAAGAGAAGAGAAAACATTCTATTTTTATTCAAAGCTCTACTGTCAGTCATCATGAAATCTACCTTTTTTTGAAGGGCCTGGAACCTACAAGGGTTCACAGTTTGCAGGGTTACTTGTAACTAGCAGAATTATATTCCTGTAATCTGGCATGACAGATCAAAATGTAAATGCACATACTGTCAGAGTATATGTATAAAGCTAATGAGGACTGGAAGAATAACTAAATTGTTAGTGTCATAATGATGTCTTAAGTCTTTACAGTTTACTGCTTAGTTCTTTGTATCTGTCTTCAAGGATGCCTCAGGTAATAGGGACATCTCAGTGCAAGAGCTTCAGGGCAAGTAACGTATTCTGCCTGCCACAACAGGATTTGAATCTTGATTTATACCAGTGCATAGGATTGCCTTAAACAGTAGAGAGAAAACAAAAGTTTTCAATTCCAGGCGTTTCAAAAAAATGAAAGACAACATCTAAACTCCTTATTACTAGTGAAAAAGACTACAAGAACAAAGCATACCTGAAAATAACCATACCAACCAACACTGGTACATAATAATCTTACAGAAGAGCATTTTGGGGATACTCACACCATTCCTTTTGACACTTAGAACTTTTTAGTAATTGCTTGCATCCTTCCAACCAATTGCTATTAGGGTGGCTGAAAAAGGGTTCTTTCCTGAGATACCCACTCAAATCCCCATGAAATACTGTCCTGAACAAACCACTGTTTGACTAAAGAGCAGCAGGAGGAGATTTAAAAAAAAAAGTCCTAAAATCCAAAATAGCAGATGGTAAATCTCA